TAACATACTTGAATGCAGATGTAAATATGGACCCCATTTCTTAACCAACCCTTTGCCATATAACTCTGCAGTCCCTTCAACCAAAGGCTGGATTTATTTCCTTGACCTTGACTTGGGGCTCAATCTTGTAACTTGCCAGGGGCTGCTTTCTTATGCCGCTATCACCATCATGAGAGAAAATGCTCATTAGTGCCCTTGTAGCAGGAGGATGAGAAACACATGTGGCTGAACATCTCAGCTGACCCCAGATCTGCAGTGAGAAGCACTGAACCCAGCCTACCCTCAGATGCATGGATGATAATATCAATGCTTTAACTCTGAGAGCTGCGTAGCCACTTGATATGCAGCAGCAGCAGCAGCTGACTGAGACAATGTGGATCCACTAAGAAGAAAAGAAAGAGAATGGGTCAGACACAACATTTCATCAAGATACAGGAGCTAATACGATTCCAAAACTGATTAAAGATATCATCCCACAGGTTTAAGAAATCCTTAAGGAACTGAAGCAGGATCAAGAAAAATCATACCCACGCACATCACAGTACAACTGCTGAATACCAAGGATAAAGAGAAAATCTTAAGAGCAGCCAGAGAAAATAGCCACCACACTTAAAGGGGCAACATCAAGACTAACAACTGAGTTCCAAAAGAGAAAATAATCAGTGAAAGACAGGAGACAATGGAATGACATCGTCAAACCACTGGCAGAAAATAACTAACAATCTAGAAGTTAATACAAAGCACAAATATCTTTCAAAATTCAAAGGTAACAGGGACTTCCCTGGTGGTCCAGTGGCTAAGACTGCGCTTCCAATGCAGGGGGCGCAGGTTCAATCCCTGGTGGTGTAAGTAAGATGCCACACGCCTCGCAGCACAGCCAGAAAAAAAAAAAAAAAAAAAAAAACCCTAAATAAATAAATAAAAAGAAAGATCAAAGGTAACAAATTCAGAGAAAAAAAATCTCAGAGAACTTACCCCCAGCGAACCACACTCAAAAAAATTATAAGAGGTAGAAGAAAAATGATCTCAAACATAAGCACAGAAATGCACAGAAAGAAGGGAAGAAAAGGGTGAATGTGAGACAATGTAAATGAATATCATTATCTGAAGCAATAACAACGAGGTCTTGGGGTTTCACTACATAGGGTTAAAGAATTACATAGCATATTTAACCCAACGATATCTATAGTGTAAAGAGTTGCCTGCGACAGGAGTGGCACAGGTGGCAGCGAGATACACGGAACCAGAGGCGGTAAACATGGAAATGGACAACCGTGGCTACGTTCCAAAAAAACTTTACTTATGACAGGCGAAACCTGAATTCCATGTATTTCACAAAAGTTGCTTCCCCCCGCTCCCCCCACGCCCACCGTCTAAGCGCACAAAAGATGTTCTCGGCTCCCAGGTGCGACTAAAAACAAGCAGCCGGACTGCTCTCAGGCTGCAGTCGGCCAACCACTGCATCAGGGAACCACTAACACCTAGAATCGCCATCGAGCGGAGCCCACGGAGCGGTCACAGAGACCCCCGCCAAGAGATCTCTTTTTCTTTGAAAAAATAGTAAAACTGATAAATCCCTAGAAAGAATGATTATGACTAAGAGAAGACACAAATTATCAATATCAGGAATGAAAAGGATGACATATCTACAGGTCCTATAACCATTAAAAAGATATGGAAAGAGATACCATCTAGGGCTAAGCAAAGAGTTCTTAGGGTTGATACCAAAAGCACAATCCATGAAAGGAAAAGTTGATAAAGTGGCTTCATCAAAATTAAAACCTTATGCCCTGCTGAAGACTGATAAGAAGACGAAAAGACAGACTACAGACTGGGGGAAATATTTGCAAGGCACGTATCCAGCAAAGTGTCATCTAAAATTCTAAGGAACTCTCAAAACTCAACAATTAAAAAGAAGAAAATCCGATTAGAAAATGGGCCAGGGGACTTCCCTGGTGGTCCAGTGGTAAGGAATCCGCCTTCCAATGCAGGGGATGCGGGTTCGGTCCCTAGTCAGGGAATTAAGATCCCACATGCCTCGGAGCAACTAAGCCTGCAGGCCGCAGCTACTGAGCTCGCGTGCCTCAACTAGAGAGAAGTCTGTGCACCGCAATGAAAGATCCTGCATGCCTCTACGAAGATCCCGTGTGCCACCACTAAGACCTGATGCAGCCAAAAACATAAAATAAATAAATAAATAAAATATTAAAAAAAGAAAGAAAATGGGTCAGAACGTACGAACAGACACTTCACCAATAAGCAGAGGTAGGTGGCAAATACGCACATGAAAAGATTTGCACCAGCATTAGCCTTTATGAAAATGCAAATTAAAGTCACAATGAGATATCACTATACACCCATCAAAGTGCTAAAGTAAAGATAGTGACCTCACCATGTGCTGATGAGGAGGCACAGAAACAGGGCCATCCACACATTGCTGGTGAGGATGTGAAGTTATATCACCACAGGGGCAAAGAGCGCGACAGCTTTTCATAAAACTCAGCATGCAACTACCATATGACCTAGCGATTGCCCTCTTGAGTGTGTATTCCAGAGAAATGAAGATGTATGTTCACAAGAAAACCCCGTGGATAAACGTGTATAGCAGCTTCATTTAAAAGTGCCAAAAACTGGAAACAACCGAGATGTCCTTCAATGGGCAAGTGGTTAAACCAGCTGTGGTCCATCCATGTCATGGAATATTTCTCAGCAATAAAAAGCAACAAAGTATTGAAACAGGCAACAACCTGGATGAATCTGAAGGGAATTGTGCTGAGTGAGAAAAGCAACCAGTCTCCCCCTACGTACTACGGGGATCCATCCGCATAATGACGCAGGCTTTCTCAAACCGTCCAGAAGCCCAGGACCTCTTATGGGGAAGCCTCTTGGTAGAATCCCCTGAGGGTGAGAAGGCAGCCGAGTCTATGCAGCCGGTGATCAATAAACGAATGAACAGTATGTGGCGAGCTGTTGTCCTAAGCTCGGTCTGCACAGATCCACCCAGTGAGAAGGGCACTCACACCTTCTCCATCCTACAGGTGACAAAATGAAGGCTCAGCTGAACACGTTTCAAGCTTGCCACGGGGTAAAGCCCCAAGGCAAGCCAAGTGAGAGACCTTCCTCCTCTTTGGGACACTTTATGGAAGGAAATTGGTTAGATCAGCCCTGATCCATGGGCTCTGATGGCTCCCCACTGGGACGTTTCTTATCTTGTTAGGTCTTTGGGAAGCATATGCAGGGCTTCGGAAGCAGCGGCAGAACGCACAAGGGCTGGGATGCAAGGCTCTGTGGCAAGGCTGCCTCCCCACAAACTGTCAGCGCCTCTGGCCGGCAAATAGTGAAAGACGGGGCTGTGCTCGCCCCGCAGGGTCACCGGGACGAGTGGAACTAGAGAGACATGTTTGATTTGCCAGCGAAAGAGCCGCTGATGCAGCGGTAGCGTTGGCTTGTGTGGAGCTGGGGATGTGGGAAGCGGGAGGAAGGTTCTGTGACCAAGGCGGCAGGTTCCCCACCTGCCAGCACTGCCCTTCCCCCGGGGCTGCTTCCACGCCCGTAGCCGCCCGCCCGCAGCTGCCTAGTGCGTGAAGCGTTGCCCCGTGTGATAGAGGAACCGATTTTACGTTGTTTAATTTGAATTTAGATAGTCATACTTGGCTCCAGGTGATGTCAGAACACGATCCGTCGTAATAGATCTTGAATGTCTATGTCTTGCTGTTCCTTGTATTTTTAAAACTGAATCAAGAAAATACATTCCTCACGTCCTAACAGTTGCAACAGCGAGTTAAGTGCACAGCTCTTCCTGCTCTATGTGATCTCAGCAGCCTCAGTGTGGTCTGGGGGGCGCACCTGGCTCAGCTTCCACTTGGGAAGGTTTCTGCGGACTCAGCAGCCCAGGGAGATCCAGCCGCAGTTTCCAGGACCCTCGGCCGTGGGCAGGTCTACTGTCCAGGTGTTTGCAGCCTCCCTGGGAGCCCCACAACCCCTGAGATAATCGTTAGCATCATGGCCGTAGCTGCTGGCGGTTGAGCAGCTGTGTGCCAGGTGCCGAAGGCACTAAGTTCCAGGCCTCCCAGGAGCAGCCCTGAGACAAGGGCTGGAGAGCAGGTGGCTTATTCCGGAGGTGAAGGCTCATCTCCAGGGGAGACGGGGAAGGGAGTCCACCAACCAGCTGCCACTGCAGATGGCCCCCTGGGGCTCTCTGACGCCCATGTAGAACCCTCACTTCAGAATCGTCCCACCTGGGCGAGGAAGTGCGGGTACCGTCTCCCAGTTGTCAGTGCTGGGGCCTCAGGGACTGAGGGGGGTATCGATTCCCTACCTTGCTGGGGGGAAATGGGATCCAGGCCAGGAAGTGCAGTGCCGGTGCTGGGAACGGGGCACAGGCGCGGCCAGGCCTACGGCGGTCTCTGGTAGGTGCCTTCCAGGGTTGGCCATGCGGGGGCTCATGGTAAAGCCGAGAGTGAAGCAGGCGGCTTGCCTAAGCTCTCGCTGCTGGAGGCCAGAGGGTATAGTCAGGTGTCTGAACTACCGGCCCGCCGCCCCCGCCTGAGGACCTCCCAGAAAGGTCTTCTCCGCTCCCTGGGACTGTGGCAAGCGTGTGCAGAGACCATTCCCTTCACTCTTCTCACGCCCAGGGCCCCCTTCCAATCCAGCCAAGGCCAGCGTGAGCCAGTGCTGGACACAGCGCCCAGCACGAGGAGGTACATAAGTGTCTGTGGATGAGTGAATAAATGAAAAGATCAGTGCGTAGGGGCCTCACTGTCTCCAGCTCGCCCAGTCCTCCCCTACCTGTCTCCCGTTTGCAGACTGAGGACATCTGCCAGGGTCCTGGGGGCCAAGATGCCAAGGCCCAGCCTGCCCACTGGCCAGGCCTCTGCAGCAGAACCAGCAAGGTGGTGCTGCCCTCGGGGCGTTCCAGCCTCCAGGAGGCCAGCTGACTTCCCCAGGCCCCGCACGGTCCTGCAGGAGCTGCCTGCCCTACAGCGACACAGGTCCTCCAGGTGGCAGGCTCCAAGCTGGGCACTGCAGGCACGGGAAGGCAGAGGGGACCCAGTGGTGGTATAAACAGCGTGGCCTGGGTCCCTGCCCGCAGACCAGCAACCCGGCTTTTACCTCACCAGCCAAGAGGGCACCTGAACTTGGGGATCGAGAACCTCAGGGCAGCATTGGGGACACAAGGTTCTCCTTCAAAACCATCCCTGCTGGCATCCTCCAAGCTGGGGAAAGATGGGCGGCAATCCTGTGCCCACTCAGCCACTTCAGTGTCTGTTCAAGACCCTTCCCCACCTGGCAAGGGGCACGAACTCGAGGTCTGAACCTGGCAGAGAAAGCTCCACTGCCCCGAGCAAGTGTGGCCTCCACTGTCCCCTGCTTCCTGGTCCGGGTGGGAAGTGTGGCCCTGGAGCCACCCTGCTCCAGCCCCTACCGGTGGCCTCGCTCTCTGGAGCCCTAGGAGGGTAACAGGAGCAGACAGAGCTCTCCACAGCGCAGGGAGGGGGAGGGAGTGTGCTCTGGGCCAGGCCCAAGTTGCCCATTCGAGGCATCTTCCAGTCCTGGGCTGGAGCGAGGTTTGAAAGAGCCCTGAGGGGCGCGTGGTCTCGGCTATGGGAGGGGGTTGCTAACCTAAAACAGTATAACAGTCAGTTATTTTACCAGCAAAATGTGTTTGTTCTGGAATAGCAAAGGATTGCAATTTGGGATTTGCAAAGAATGCAACTGTGGTGAACTATATGCATGTCTGGTAAAGCAAAGAAGAGGAGACTCTTTTGCAGAGGAGAAGGGGAGTTGGGAGGGGCTGTTATAAACAGAGTCCATTGGAGGAAACTGGGAGTTGACGGAGTGGTAGCTTTTCATTGGCTGGGCTGTTGTCGGGCGGGGAGAAAAATCTTCCTTCCTCCTGCTGGTCTTGGTGTCACTTCTTGCCAGAGATGCAAGGTAGGTCTCTTGCTGTTGGGATCTGTATTGACCTTGAGGGGTAGGTGCATGAGATCGCCCTCTTCTGGCATCCCAACTCCATTTTAGTGACTTTCCCTTTATTAATATTCACAGGGTGCTGGTGGTGAAATGGGCTCAGGTCCACACCTACCCTCTGTGCCCAGCTTCTGGCAGCAAGGCTGCCCGCCACACTCCCACTTTGCCAGCAGAGGGTGCTAGAGGGAGATGGACACTGGAGGGCAGGAGCTGTGCCTGTGACACGGCTGTCCCTTGGCACCGCATTAAACAGGATAATGGCTCTGCCCAGGGTGTGCCGAAGTTTCCATGACGTTTTGCTGGAACAGAACCCAAGGGCACCATCTCAGAGAGGGAGCCTCTCCCATGCAGACATCCCCTGAGATGGTGTACCTGTTCACCTTGGCCCCTGCTCTGGCTGGTGAGCTCCTATTCACCCTTCCTGGCCCATCTCTAGTGCCCCTCACTGGGGAGCTGGCAGTGCCCCCCCCCACTCCGTGGCTCAGCCCCAACCTGCAAGGAGGGCGTGCCGGGCTGTCCCAGGTGAGCCCTGCTGGCCGCTGGCTGCGGGGACTCCCTTGTTTATCCAGTTTCCCACCTTCTCGCTCCTGGAGAACACCAGCTGCCCATGATCAGGAGCACGGGCGTCCCTGCCTCCTGGCTCCTTGCTGCCCAGACCAGCCCAAAGAGGAGCAGCCCTCGCACCTGGGGACCCAGAGTGAATTATCCCCATCCTCCACGTCTCTCTCTGTCCCTCCTCTGAAGGAGCCAGGGAGGCTCAAGGAGGGGCTAGCTGGGACACTCCCGGGCCAGGTGGACACTCAGAGACCCCCACCCCGAGACTGGGGCCCTTCAGGATGGGTAGGGAGGTGCTGGTGTTCTCCCTGCTGCAGGGAAACAGAAGGCTGCAGTGCGGGGGTAGGGGCCAGGCTCTGCGTGAGCGGGAAGGGAAGGAAGAGGGGAGACTGGCCGAGGGCAGGTGCCAGAGCAACTCAGGACACCGAGCTTTCTACTCAGGACACTCAGAGTCCCACCAGCCTGAGCTCTCTGGTGGCCGCTTAAGCCCTTTCTGAGGCGCCCTGTGCCCGTGAGCACAGCAGCCTTTCTGTCCTTCCCCAACACTCTGGGCTTGGGTCCTAAGACTGGAACAGCATCCATTCCTTATGGCCAGGAGTAAGGCTCAGCATGTGACCAAAGCCCAGGCTCAGAGTGTGACCAGGGCCAGGGCTCAGAGTGGGACCAGGGTCAGGGCTCAGAGTGTGACCAGGGCCAGGGCTCAGAGT